AATGTTTTTAATTGACAACCCTTAGATCTGAATTTTCTGGGTCCACTTAGATCTAATGGTCCAGATTTAGTTACTCATAGGTCAGTAACCATTGGTTATGGACCCTATCTTAAGCTTGTCTCTGCTCGCCCAAGCTCAAGGGAATAATTTCGTTCCTTTTTCGCGACATCAGATCTATTTTTGAAAAATCAAAACCATGGGGGAGTCTCGACACCACTCTTCTTCCCCATCCCTTCCCCAATCTCTTGAGAACGGAGTTCCACCGGCAGTGGTTCAAAAACCCGCCGATCGAATCATGGGATAGAACCTCCAGCTGTAGTGCCCATTTTCGTACCAGCAACTCTCTTGGTTTCTTCTATCCACCTCGCGAACGCGTCAGACAGTCATTCGGTTCGAAAATCGGATCTGCGATGGGTTGATGCTATTCTGGGATCCGAACGAGATGTACATAACCGAACCTGTATGTGGGATTCGAGCCATTCGATACGCTTCTCAACAGAAACCCCCCGACGATTGGATTCGAAGCACAACGAATGTAATTTCAATTTCCCCACCGCGATAGCGACCAGATCTTCGGAGAAGATGGAAGCGTAGAGATCTGTGAAGAAATCGAAGCATTTGGGCGACCAGCAGATCTTGTAGGCGGCGATGCACGCGCTCAGCGACAACGAAGGCGTAGTCGTATAAGTTGGGGTCGAGGGGCCAAATCCCAGTGTCGAGGACGCCGTTGATGACTTTTAGCGGAGTTTAGGGAGAGAGGGGAAGAGCGGGAGAGGTTGAGGAAGGGGTGTGAGTGGTGTGGAGGTGGCAGATCTGGGCGGGGACGACGAAGAAGATGCCCGGGGTGTGTTGGAGGCGGGAGGCTTGGTCGGCGGCGAGGGAGGCAGAGAATTCATCGCCGGTGGGGGAGTAGGTGTAGAGGAGGGCTCAAGGGTGGGGGAGGATGGAGGCATAGGAGATTAGGTAGAAGTTGGAGAAGAGATGGGGTCGAAGAAGGGAAGGAAGAGTGGTGAAAACAAATCGGGAAGAAGAAGGCAGCAGAGGAAGAGTTGGAGAGAACGGCGGCGACCACCGGTGCTTGAGGGAGAGGAGAGAGAGGATGCAAAAATAATTTTAATTTTTTGTTTTTAAAGTAAAATATGACATGGCATCCATGTGGCAAGTGTTGTTGAGTTGTCGATGATGTGTCCGATGAGTTGGTAGCCATGTAAGCATTCTGTTAATTTGACTATTGGTGTTACTAACGTCGTCAAATTATGTAACGGAAATGGCTATATATGTCATCAAACTTTCAAAATTCTGGCTATTATTGGTATTTCCTCAAAAGTGGCTACTATTGTGACAAACGTCAAAATTTTGGGTATATAGATGAATTTTGCCTTTATATTATTGTAATTAGGATGAGATTTAATGATGGTGGGAAATTAGGTAAAAGATAAATTTTTAGTGGGGGAGATAATGAATGTAGTGAAAGAGTCACAAGATTGAAAGGGTAAGAAAATTGTGTTCGACAAGAACGAGAGAGAATAGGGTAAAAGATACACAATGATCACAAAGAGGTGAAAGAAGTCGATGCACTACTATTTTTTTTTTTAGCGAATATCATTCGCTTTATTAAAAGAACATGTCCAAATATTATTAATATATAAAGAAGAAGTTGAGTTACTCTTGCCTAATCTTGCAAGTTGATTGGGCAACTATTTTTTTTACATTTTCATATCCAAATTTAATTAAATTACAACTTAGTTACTATAATATACATTTTACATTTTGATACCCCAAACTTAATTTCAATGTAAAATTATTGAACAATTTGTTTTGTTATATAAATTTTATGAGCTTTTTGTACCTACATTTTTTAAAAATTTACATATTGGTTTAATGTTTAGATTTCACTTGAATCCATAAATCCAATCCGCCAATCCTTTTGAATCAATCAATGAATCCAATCTATCATAACAAAAAATATAAATTTAGTTTGTATCATATAAGATGTTGTATCACTCAACTGAAGGAGAAGATTCGACCATTTTATATTTGCTCATTGCGTGAAACATTAAATAAATGATAAAAGTGAGACTACTCTAAAATATTACAAGAGCGATTTTATAAACTCATTTAATACATTTACGGGGTACTAAACAAACTTCTACTAACTACATGCAACAAAATAGGCGACATCTACATAAGCAAGTGACAATAAATTGCTACGGTGAAAATGTTTGACTATTGTATTGACGGCCAGCTAAAAGAATTGGTCAGAACCTTTCCATCAGCTAGAAGATTCGACCATTTTATATTTGCTCATTGCGTGAAACATTAAATAAATGATAAAAGTGAGACGACTCTAAAATATTACAAGGGCGATTTTATAAACTCATTTAGTACATTTACGAGGTACTAAACAAACTTCTACTAACTACATGCAACAAAATAGGCGACATCTTCATAAGCAAGTGACAATAAATTGCTATGGTGAAAATGGTTGACTATTGTCTTGACGGTCAGCTAAAAGAATTGGTCAAAACCTTCCCATCATCTACTTGCTTTTCGTTTCATTTTTCACTCGCCTTCCATAACTTTTTATTTATTTCTTTCTTTGCCTTCTTCGTCTAGCCGTAATTAGTATACAATTTTTATGTATTCTAATCACAAGTATGAACGGGTCCATACTACTTACCAACAGTCTAGAGAATTAATAATTGAACCATGAACCATGAACTTTTTCAGCACAATGTCAAGTCCAAATAAAAATAAATAAATATGGCTATTACTTATTAGAAAGTAATCATTTTCCACTATGAGATTTGAAAGTGTGAAATTTAAGCGAGTTTCAGTTTGTTTTCATTTTGGTTCTCCCTAAGGCCTAAAGTTTTTCTTTTTCACCCGAGCTAGAATTTCGACAATTATATATGGAATGTTTGGCTAGGTATCTACACATATCAAATAATAGTTTCCATTTTTCTATAAAATACATCACCATAAAGGAATTAAGCCTCAAATATATAAATTACAGTTCGGTACCTAAACTTAATAGATTTTTAGATTTATAACCTAAACTTATTTTTTTGGCACATAAGTCCCCAAAATATTAATTGAACATTACATTTTAGTATCTACAATTTTTGCATATGACATTTTGGTGCCTAAACTTTTGAAGTTCTACAAATATGTATAATTTTTGTATGTGTAATTAAAACACCCTCGAATAAATTGTTATCCATACCCAACTCATACACATTTAGATTATGTAAGTACATATTCATACCCTATCCAAACTCATCTACAAACTTTCAAACCCATATATATGTCACCCATACCCTACCCATAATCAATGGGTCTACTTGGGTTTAGGTAAATATCAGTTATTAGCCAAAATTTTCAAAAAAATTTAAATTGGATGTTGACCACCCTATATATCTTCTCAGTTAATATCATATTGTCAAGTCAATATTACTAACAAAACTGCTAACAAAAAAATAATTTTAGACTAATAATACAAACAAACACCATAACGAGTGACATAATACATGCTCATATACCATCTCCGTCCCGCGACAAGGCGCAACATCGCCACCTAGTACTTATATAAATCATTATATTAAGAAATTAGTTTGTTTCAATCCATCTTTATGGTCCACGGTTTGTTTCAACTTAGAAAGCAATATTTTCCTTCTCAAAATTTCCTTTGGATACCAAGACATCGTTTTTTTCAAACTTCAAACTTCTTATCTTCTATTTTTCTTCTCTCTGTACTTTTTTTTCCCATTTTTTTCCAATCAAAAAATGGAAAACGATGCAATAAAATGTGTATGCCAATTTTAGATTGAGTAGTATGTGTCAAAATTTTCATACCAACAAAACATGAATCTCTCAAAAAGCTTTCGGACGAACACCCCTCTTTGAGACGTGGGTCCGCCCCAGGCTGAAAGCGGTCGATCGGTTACCAAAATCGGTTGATCGCTTTCTCTAAATCATTATTATAAGGGTGATTGAAATGCATTAAACGTAAACAAAGAAAAAACAAAGTGTCTGGGGGCCGAGGTTCACAAGAGCTGAACCAAACCGCCAAGAGAGGAACAAAGCAGAGTAGCTGGTAAACAAAGAAAGGGAAACACACCGAGAAACCGAGAAGCAGAAGTCAGAACCACAAAGCTAGCTAAATGGACCAAGCCATTCCTACTAGCCCAAAAGCTCCAACACACTACATGACAGCCAAAACAACCACTTAAAAAGTCCACCAGTAGTCCAAGGCCAGCCGTTGCACAGAGGCAAACTAAAAGCTATGAAGCTTATTCTCAAGCCACTACAGACCTTGATCCTTGTCTACCTTGGCAAAGGCAATGGCCCACTCGACAGCGTTTCTTAGTATTTTGCGAGTAACAACTCTAGGATGCAACCGAGTGCCCTAGAAAATTCTTCTATTTCTTTTTAGCAATATCTGAGAATTATAATATTTTTTAGAGGAAATCAGATAAATAATTATGTTTTCTACTTGACGAATTTTGCGTAAATAGTCGGAGAGTCTTCAAACTTATGTAAGTCCACCTTAACCCATAATATAATAGGGAGCCAGCTGGTCCTACAACGTGCGTAATTTCATTTGAAGCCAATTGACATACGTACGTAATTAGTTAAGTACTGGAAACTTGAATTAATTAGAATGAAAGTTTAATTAATTAGTTTATTGTAGTAACAAAACTCGGTTTTCATCAGGGTTGCACTAGTTCTTCAAATTCTGCCTTCCCGCTACAAAACAACAACTTGTAGATCAATAGAAATTCAATTTCAATTGCACAACATTTTCCTTTTGGTTCCTGCAATAGAGGACGTACGAAGGAGGCCATTAAGTTGCACCTTTGGACGACGGAACTGATGTCAATAGTCTCTATAAAAGGGAGGCGTAAAACCAACATATATAGTTCATATCATCGCATTCTACAAAGCGAAAGCCAAAGAAAAGCGAAAAATTAGTAGAAAGAAAAAAAAGAGATATCGATATGGGTAGGCATCAGAAAGTGATAGTGTCGATGGCGAGTGCTGTGTTGGTAGTTGTAGCGTGTTTGAGCGTCGGAATTGGGAGCGCTAGAGCTCAGTCTTGCAGCGGCGGTGAGGTTAGTGATGTTTTGGGGTGGCAGAGTTACGTCACCAACATTCTGACGATGCTGGCTCGAGAGACGCCCACCAAGGCTCTGGGTTCTACATACACCACTACGTATGCCGGTCGGATTAAAGGCGATGCTTTTTGTCCTTCCTCAGACGGAGGACAGGCATGCATAGACTGTATGAACCGTCTTCAGATCAAGCTCCAAGCTGCTTGTCCTAATTCCGCAAGTGGAAATGCCGATGACGGATCTACATCGTCCTGCACCATGTCTTTCTATAAAATCTAATCCCCGCCCGTATCCTAAAGTTATGTTGTCGAGTCATCCAATCTGCGTGGCCTCTATCAAGTTTACTTTGCCTTTCTTATGATTCCTGCATGTCCTTTATGTGTCAGTTAAACTACTGTATCGATCCTCAGTGTTACGAACTGGTTGATCGGTGCCCAGAATAAAGCATATGAGAAACTACTATATTATACATATAATGATAAAAAAATCATGATTACACCAACATTCTGACGAGAGGGCTAGTCTCAATCCTGATGCAATAGTGTCGTTAGCGGTATTTTGGGTTGGTAGAGTTACGTCACCAACATTCTGGGGTACTCCATAGTAGGACCCGGCGACCCACGGAGTGTAGTTGTACTCCATAGTAGGACCCGGCGGGGGTGGTGGATCCTGAGCCCCATCTACCTGGGAGACTGGGTTGTTCCCAAGGATGTGATTCACTGGGGGAACCTGCATGGGAATCCCGAGGGGTTGATTCTGCCCCAGGTTAAGGTTCCCCTTGTTGTGCTCGCCGCCCATCTCGTATTCCTCTTCAGAGTTGCTGCTCAGATGGCCGTCGACGTGCACTTCCTCTGTAGCTAGTCTTGCTCGTTGTTGTCTCCTAAGTTGGCAACAAGTGCGTTCTAGCTCCGGATCTAACGGTAGTAAACCTCCCGATTTGCTATGGGTCATGCACTACCTGCACACAGCCAAGCAAGCAAACCCGTGAAGGCACAAGTGGGAAAAAGCAAACAATCAATGCGGAAAGGAAATGCTAAAATAATAGAAATTACGTTTCTTCAACAACCTAACCGTCCCCGGCAAAGGCGCCAAAAACTTGGCACGCCTCTAGCGTCACACTAGAAAGTGGCCAATTGTAACCACCTACTAATGCGTAGTATAGCGGGTTGAGTTCTAAATGTCAACCCGGGTCCTAGGTGTGATGACTACTCCCTGAAATTCTTATTAAGCCAGATATGGTTCCCCCTAGACTGCAGTTAAGCCAGGTTGTAATTGACCAAGTTCTAGTTCAAAGATAGTTATACTGTGGGAGGTTCTCAAACAGTCCTCTCTAAACTAGCCTAGGAGGCATGCAATACCCAAGAACACCCATATCTAATTCACGCTCTTAAACTAAGGAGGTCTCCTCTCTAAGCTAGGCCAACATAGCTCACACAATCACAATGAAAAATACCTCCACATTCACATTAAACACAACCACACACAAGTCATTCAATTCATACAAGCATTCACATACTTGTAGCTAGGGTTTATTAACACCCAAGTGAAAGAAGGACTACTCCATGTTAGGAGAAGGGAAAACACAAGAGAGGTAAAGGGAAACCATCAAGAAGATGCAAGGCTTGCTCCTTGTGTGGAAAAGATCCTCCTTTGGGGGAGGAATCCAATTCCTTGCTTTGAGATGAAACCCTAGCTTCTCCTCTTTTTTGGTTCGTCACTTTCTCACTTTAAAATTTGAAGAAGAAGAAATTTCTCACACTAGTTATCTCTCCTTCTTCTTCTTTTTAGCTCGCTCTTTGAACTGAGATCGAGCCCAGTTCACGGCCTGAGTTCACGGCCGTGAAAATCGAAACGCGTTCGTGTACACAGTGTCTGAATCAAAACGCACCGCTTCACATCATGGGGTTCACGGATTGTGGCTTCTGTTAATGGTCTTAACAACCGTGAACAACCTTGGCGTCAGTAACCTCAAAACCCTCTTTGGACGCTCCTTCCATTTCCTGGTCTAGCCCAAAGCAAAACCATAACATATATTATAATATCTTTTTATAGTAGTTCGTTTTGTTGATGTGACTTGAATCGGACTATCAGCCGCTACCACATGGAGAAGTACCATAAATACTTCTCATACTCCTCTGTAAACTGTAATCTCCTCGATATAGTGAAATTGGCTCTCTCTCGCCCGTGGACGTAACTAACACACATCGTGTAAGTGAACCACGTAAATCGTGTGTCGTGTTTTCGATTCTCACTTTCGTATTCTTGTTTTGTCGATTCCGGCGATTTCCCGATCCGTAGCGGCGCGTTTTATAACACGTTTAGAGAGGAAAATCACATAAATGATTTTGTTTTCTACTTGAACGAACTTTGCGTAAATGCCGGAGAGTTTTCAAACTTACGTGAGTCCACCTTAACCCATAATATAATAGGGAGCCAGCTGGTCGTGCAACGTGCGTAATTTCATTTAAAGCCAATTGACATACGTACGTACTTAGAATGAAAGTTTTAACTAGTTTATTGTAGTAATGACAAAACTCGGTTTTTCATCGGGGTTGCACTAGTTCGTCCAATTCTGCCTTACCGGTATAAAATAATAAATTGTAGATCAATTAATAGAAATTAAATGTCAATTGGCGCAACATTTTCCTTTTGGTTCCTGCAATAGGGCTCAAGATAGTGTGAGTAATCTTAGGGTGAGTAACAATGAGTAACCAAATCTGGACCCTTCTTTTAAGTGACTGCAGATCTAAGGGTGGATAATTAAAGGAGTTTATTTTCCCTAGTTTTCTTAATTGGATCATATCTTCTTCATTCTAACTCGGATTTCAATTTTTTTTGCACAGATAAAACGAGTTCGTTGTGCTCTACAAAATGATATATATTTTCAATATATTTTTAGAATTTTTTTCATCCCTCTCGTTACCAACTCCATATCATATGCTATCTCCTTCGTTGTTTAGTTATTTTCGGGAATTTTTGCACAAAAGGAACGATTTAATCATGATCTATTGGATTTCAAAATTTTCCGGGGAAAAAAATTTCAAACCTCTCGTTACCAACTCCATACCATACTATACCACCATGATATGAGGTGATATTTTTCATACCATATGGTATGCTGTTATTTAATACCATATGGTATTGACTGGTATTAAATAACAGCATATGGTATTGACTGGTATTTTCATACCATATGGTATGCTGTTATTTAATACCAGTCAATACCATATGGTATAGACTGGTAATAATTGGCAAATTTTTTTTTTTCCAAAAAATATCAAATTGGATATCATTTTGAATAGCACAATTAATCTGATCTAACTGTACAAAAAAAATAAAATTCGGAGTTCAAACGAATGAGAAATCGTCCGTTAAAGATTAATGGAAAGAAAATTAATGATTTTTCCAGGTGAGAGAAGGAGGTGCTGATGTGGCAGATTCTTATTGGGTTATGCATGAGGTTACTCACCACGAGGTTACTCACCGGATCTGCTCCCCTCAATAGCCTTTTATAGAGGGAGGCGTAAAACCAACATATATAGTTCATAGCATCTCATTCTACAAAGCGAAAGCCAAAGAAAAGCGAAAAATCAGTCGAAAGAAGGAACAAAGAGAAGCAACAAACACGTATCGATATGGGTAGCCAGCAGAAAGTGATAGTGTCGATGGCGAATGCTGTGTTAGTAGTTGTAGCGTGTTTGAGCGTCGGAATTGGGAGCGCTAGAGCTCAGTCTTGCAGCGGCGGTGAGGTTAGTGATGTTTTGGGGTGGCAGAGTTACGTCAACAACATTCTGACGATGCTGGCTCGAGAGACGCCCACCAAGGCTCTGGGTTCTACATACACCACTACGTATGCTGGTCGGGTTAAAGGCGATGCTTTTTGTCCTTCCTCAGACGGAGGGCAGGCATGCATAGACTGTATGAACCGTCTTCAGATCAAGCTCCAAGCTGCTTGTCCTAATTCCGCAAGTGGAAATGCCGATGACGGATCTACATCGTCCTGCACCATGTCTTTCGATAAAATCTAATCCCCGCCCGTATCCTAAAGTTATGTTTTCGAGTCATCCAATCTGCGTGGCCTCTATCAAGTTTACTTTGCCTTTCTTATGATTCCTGCATGTCCTTTATGTGTCAGTTAAACTACTGTATCGATCCTTACTGTTACGAACTGGTTGATCGGTGCCCAGAATAAAGCATATGAGAAACTACTATATTATACATATTTCCTTCTATGTAATCAGCTTATGGTATCCGTGACAAAAAATCGGCCTTGGGTTTCGTTTATTTCCTACGGGAAAGACAAATCAGTTTGTGGTTTGATTTATGAATACAAAGAGATTGAGGGTTTGATTTATGAAAAATCAGTTTGTGGTTTGTACTAGTGGATTCAGCACAGTTTCGACAGGCAAATTTACTCCATCCGGAAAAATTGGCATAGGAAGGGAAGTCATTAATAGTCCACATCAAGGCAGTCTGCATGCGAAAGATTTGCTTTGTGGAAGCATAGTAAGTCTATTGTGGTATATGATCCATGATTGAACCTCTCCCAACAACTCGAGTTATTGGGATCAACTGGTTCTTGACATGGTATCAGAGCCTTCTGTGACCGATAGGTCTTGTGTTCGATTCCCGGTGACCCCATTTGTTAAGCACATGGTATTCTTGTCTTCAGACCTGTGCAAACTTCAAGCCTTTGTGAGTGGCTTTCGTTTGAGGGGGCGTGTTAGTATTGTGGTATATGATCCATGATTGAACCTCTCCCAACAACTCGAGTTATTGGGATCAACTGGTTCTTGACAGGAACACCCTCCCATAATTTTAATAGCTCACTAACAAAAGGCTGGAGGTATGTATCAATAGCATTACCGGGACCCTAAGGCCCTGGAATGATCATTGAGAGGATAAAAGAATGTTGCTTCAAATAGATTCTAGGAGGCGTGTTATATATATGATCCCACCATCACTGGCCAGAAACTGTACGTGGAAGTCATTGATCTATTTGGCACAAATCCATCACTACTAAGGCCCAAACGAATATTTCGAGAGTCTGTAGAAAAATCTTGATATCTAGCATCAAAATCTTCCCCCCTCTTCCCCATCTGCTGGATGTCATAGTAATCCATCTTTTTTATGTCCTTCATCATGTCACCTCATATGTTTTGCCATTTTTTCAGCCTCGGAATTAAGGGAAAATAACGTAATATCTTCGTCATTTTCTCCTTTCCATTTTCACCAACTTTGTACCTAGACTCTTAACACACACTGTGATATGATCCCAAATGGTCAACTATACACGTTTAATTTACTTGACGAAGAAGCTATCGAAGTTGGAAAGAAGAAGGGCAGAATTTGGCCAAGTCAAAATCCGTGTTCAGGGTACCTACTTTGGAGGCATGGTTCTCTCAATTCGCTTGGTGGAAATTCCAGGTTAAGGATTTTTTTAAAATATAAAGTTGCCATCTTTCCAATGGTATACTTTTTGGATCCAGAAGTTGTCATTAGGGTTCTTTTCCAATGCCTCAAAGTTGCTACCTCAAAACTAGAAAACTGTTTTGTGAAACCTACTTTGGAGCTTAATTCAAGGAGTATCAATCTGATTCACGTCCAAAGGCTTCCACAACATGAAACTATGTATGTTTATGTACAAAGAGAAGGAATTGGATGAGGCATTGGAGTTCGGGAAGGCCTCGAAGAAAAAGGCTTAAATATCGTACAAAGTCACAAAAATCTGCCTTTGAGAAACATAATTCTGCTTTCCTAATTCAACTAGGATTTCATTTAATTGTTAGATTTTGATTCCTTTTCGAATTGTATTGTGGTTAGACTTCCTTATTAGTTTATTAGACGTAACTTGGTTTATTTAAACTTGTCTTTTGCATTGTAATCGTTAGACTTTGATTAATGGAAAAACAAACTCTTTGGTTTTGTGCAAGTTGCGACTTGTTTGAGTTTGGTGGATTCCAAACTTATGAGCTTTGAATCGATTGAATATTCTTTTCAATCGTGGTCAAGAAGCTACCCTTTAATCCAATCAAGCGTTCCCCAGGTGTGGAATCGTCCTTTTAGTTTCATTTTATCCAAGTTCGTATTAAGAACACTTCATTCTTGATTCGAACTCTATTGATTCTTCGATTCAGTCGTTTGCTGCTTTACTTTGATAAAATATACCCCTCCAGACGCGTATTAAGTGGTATCAGAGCCCCGTTCTACACAAGGGCAAAGAGAAGGCAATTTGAGTGGGTTGAGGTTGTGCAAATCAATTATGCACCTGCTGGAAAACAAGACACCCCTGTTTTGTGCCGCTGCTGCTTCTGTTTATTTGCACTGTAGTGAAGAGGCAAAGGAGGTGCAAGAAGATAGGTTGTCTTCATGGAGAAATAACCATTAGTGGAGCCCGTCCATAACACAGTATCCTTCTCGGTGGTGAGAGGGTCCACAACAACCGTGGTCATTTTCTGCAGAATATCTGTCGAGAGCCAGGGGACTGGTGGTCCAAGTCACCGCTTCCATCCTCTGTGAGATAGTCCGAAAAAGAGTCTGCTAGCATCCCTTTTGGTACTCATTGCAAAGCCAACTCCACAAGCGAAACCTGCATCAACTAGACATCACGCCAAAACTTAGTATCCTTCCCATTGTTAATAATTAATGCACAACCTTGCCGTAGCAAATTAGAAGCTTTAGTAAATCTTCTCCAAGCAAAGGAACTGTCCTAACTTGTCCGAAAGAGATCATGTCCTTCTCGCTGTCCGTACTTAGCTCGAACGAGTTGCGTCCATAAGGTGTCCTTTTCCTGAAGAAGCCGCCATCCCCCTTTGGCTAGGAGGGCCAGGTTTGCCTGTCGCAGGGTTCGCAGGCCTGCTCCACCTTGGCTTTTTGGCTCGGTTAGCTTCTCCTAGACCACCAAATGCATCCTTCCTTATTGCTCGCCTTCTCCCCAGATGATATACATGTTAATCTTATGAATAGAATTAACAACATTCATAGGGGATCAACTCGTTCTGCATAGAATAAGTTGGAATGGAAAGAGATACAGATCGGGCCACGGTAAGCCTCGCGTCTAGGAATAGTATCTTAGCTTTTCATGGAGCAAAAATTTTATGAATTTGTAAAACCAGAGGCTGATCTTATCTTGATAATTCTTCTGTGAACAGCTTGCATTCCTAAGTATCGATCGAGGTTTGGAGTCAGAGGTATAGCAGTCATGTCGCTTAGTCGTTGTGCTCGACGTTGCCCGATGTTTGGGGAGACATAAAGAAGGGACTTGCTGAAGTTCACTCATTGTCCGAAGATAGCAACGAACTTGTCCAAGCATTGCTTGATGATCTGAACTTGGGAGCTGTCAGCTTCCGCAAAGGCGCAAACAGAATAAGATCATCTACAAAAGAAAAAAAGATGACTTAGTGTCGGACCCCCTCGCGATAGTCTGACAAGCTTCTACAGCTTATATTGGACAACCTGGTCTAACCTATGGGATAATTGCTCCAAACATAAAAGAAAAAGATAACCACTCCATACAAAATGATTCTATGTTCATAATATTTACGTGGTGTTTTACTCATTGAAGAAGGCTCATTAATATCTTTGCTTACATAACAACTATCCCGCTATAAATTTTAGTTTATGTACTGTCTATAAATTATACGAATGAATTTATAATTTATGTAAGTATTATAGAACATTGTTTATGTAACTGCTATAGAATATTGTTACATAAATTTTATATAATGTGTAGTCTAATAATAAAATATAATTTAGAAAGTAACATATGATTAAACAGTTATATCAAAGTCAACTAACCTTACGGAACCTTTTCATAAATTAATGACATGTTAAATATTTTAAATAACAATACCTTTTCATGATGCAAATCGATGACATGTTAAATATTTTACATAAATTTTTTATAATGTGTAGTCTAATAATAAAATATAATTTAGAAAGTAACATATGATTAAACTGTTATGTCAGAGTCAACCAACCTTGCAGAACCTTTTCATAAATTAATGGCATGTTAAATATTTTAATTAACAATAGCTTTTCATGATGCAAATCGATGACATGTTAAATATTTTAATTAATAATAATGAAATTTTGTTTAAGAATAAGGGAAAAATTTAATATTGTTCTTATTATTTTGGAGAAAAAAACTTACGGTATAATTTTTTTTTGAATGAAAACTGTATTCATTAATTAAATCAAATTAAAGCATTGGAGTTTCCTCCCATATCCTCTCTAAGAAGAGGTACAAGAAAATGAGATGGGTTTTCAATCCACACCTCCTCTCCCTCCAGTTACAATCCACATGATGAAATGGCCAGGTTTATTCTTTTGTCGGCCCACAAAGTTCCATTGGACATGACTCAGTGACTGGGCTTTGGCCCGGATCTCCGCACAGAGCAACCTGATCTCTGTCTCCCTATATTCTTCTCTTCTCAGCTGGTAAATGACCCCCTTGCAATCCGATTCCATTTCCACCTCCAACAGATCAAACCTCCGTGCCAAATCAAGGCCAAAGTCGATGGCCACGACTTCCACTTCCTCGGGATTTCATTGAATTCGCAATCTCCGAACTCCAGCGAGCAAAAACCTGCCCCACTATCTCTGATAACCACTCCCAACCTGTTCCTTGATCCGCGATGCAAGCCGCGTCGACATTAACCTTCACCGACGCTGTCAATGGTGGCTGCCACTTCTGCTCATCATTTCTCGCCAGCAATTGCGGGGTTGACTGTTTATCCAGGTAATCCAGCAACCAATTGCATGCCCTAGGTAAAATTCCCCACTCTTCTAACTTCTTCTTGTTCCACATATGGCAGTTTCGTTGGTCCCAGATATACCACAGCGCCCCTAGGAACTCTCTTAGTATCTCATCAGATTCCGTCTCCTGGAGTTCGCAATACCACTCTTCCGAGGAAAGATCTTCTCCATTCACTATGTCTGAATCCATAGGACTAGCTCTCCACTCCCTGCGTACCCAATCACAATCACGAAAAATATGCTCATGCGTTTCCCTCAAATGTGAAAAAAGGGCAATTTTCACAGCCCTTTTGCATTCGATCATAGATACGGGCTCCTATAGGGATTATATTTCTCAACCATCGCCAGGCAAGGATTCTGACTTTTTGGGGGATCCTTAGGTTCCAGAGACTTTTCTAATTCACCGGCGTATAGACTTCGCCAGCTCCTTGAGTCCAAATCAATCAGTTC